CCCACCCAGCGACCTGTTTTTACCAACTTTGCGCACTGAAAAGATGCTTCAACACAAACCCCAACAACCCCCCGCCGGGAGGGGGGTGGGGAATTCTGGGAGTTGAAGTCCACACACCTTAAAGTGGCCAAGGTTGAGAAACACTGCATTAGACTTAATATACTTATTTTACTCAAAAATAACCCTACTCCCTTCTATGATGTCATTGCATTAATATTTTGTCCTTTGTGGGCCCATATAACCAGAAGAAATAAGGGGAAAAAGTATGGCCCTTGGCTGTAAGACAATTACCTACCCACAGTTTATAGAAAGTTTGAACATAGGGATAGGGATAAGAATAGTTAGAGATACAGTGGGTTTGAGATAAATAAGTGAAAGAGAAAAGGAGCCAGACAATTATGAAATGAAAAACGTGTGCTGTATAGGCCAGGTTTATTTCACAGACCATTAATAAGTGAATTCAAATCAAAGGTAAAATGCATAATTATGGTTTTGAGCAACTCCTGATTTATTTGTGGAGAAACAGAAACAAGTGTTGATATCCCTTCACACCTGCTCCTTACAACTTTGCCTGCTTACAGAAAATAAATCAGATGCCTTTTGCTATTTTGAAAATCTGTGAAGATATTTTCTTCTCTTTTTGTATCACACATACTAAATCCACTAACATACAAGACACTAGTAAAATAATTCATTTCTAGAATGATATAAACGGTAAACTTCTATTCAGTTCTAGTACATAGGAACTTGGCAGAAAGGTTGGCTCGAATTTTCATAACCACTTCTCACAGGTTCCTAGACCTAATATGTCTTTGAAAGTCATAAGAAAATGCATATTTTGAGCCAATTCTGATTCCTGGTGATTATATGGATAGGTGCCTGCAGTTTTTGTGGCAAGATTTTCAGAAGTGCCTTGCCAGACCAAAGTCACCCAGCTAATTTTGTGCCTGTGTGAGGACTAGAACTCCTTCAAGTCTGGTATCTTTTAACAACTACCCCAAAGTGACTTCCTTGATTTGGAAATATATTAATTTGTGTACATAAATTTCCTAATGTGTATTTATCTACATACATTTCTTGGGTTTTAAATAGTCCATTCTTGGTCCTCTTATTGAATTAAAATTCTCATTTATCACTTCTTGATAGTACAATGAGAGGAAAGTTAAAATTTCTTGCATAGTAATTCTCAGTTAAATATCACAACTTTAAGGACTTGTTAATGCCTGATTTCACACGCTATGATTGTTTCATAAAAATATTACTGTTCTAACTCTGTCCTATTGTTATATAAAAGTGCTGGCATTAATTATAACACCTTTCTAGAAAAATCAGAGATTTGGGGGAAAACAAGAAAAAAAACCCCAGATCTTTTAGTCTATTAATCAGTTCTGTTAATACTGACAATAGACTGGGAGATCCATAAGTACATGGCAGCTTCTTTATCTACATAAATAATTTTAAGAAAAAAATTCTGATTTATTTCTAAGTAGGAAACCTTGCTGTAATATCTATTATCTTGGACAATAACAGAGAGAAATGTGTCACATATCTTGCATAAAAAGTTTTATATTCTCTCTTAAATATTTTATATTTAAATTCTTCAATGTACTAGAACAAGTACATTGTTCTTTGTTTAAAGTATCTTCTTACCATAGGACAAGCAAACAAAATGTTGAATCACTTTTTACATAGAAGAAATGAAATGCGGTGTGTCTACTTTAGTCATTTATATATTCAGTTTCTGGTTTGCTTTGGCAGCAATGATGTAAAAAAAAAAATCAGACTTGGCTTGCCACCAAATGGGACAGCTTCCCAGGTTGTATTTGGCACCATCTGCTGCCAGGCACCTTTTCCTTACCCATGTTGATACCATTACGCAAAATTCCTGTTTTATTTTTCTTTCATTTTTTTCCAGTATGTCTTAATTAGTTTGTAATTCCATGTGGTTTTTTGTACTGTGTCTTGCATATAGTTGTTAATTAATGTTAAGGGAAAAACTTATTTATTAGAGGGGACCAGAAACTAATTGCTGTTTCCTTTGTCTCTCCAAGTCCTACTCATTTTTCTGGTTACCACCTGGATCTACCTATAAATGATTAGAAGTTAAACAAGTAAAATATGCAGGACTGGTAAAAAATAATGAAAAAATCCTCAGTGCATGCAGAGAATAGATAGCCATTAGGTGCTATCTGAAATTTAAAATCTGTTTGATGAATCAGGGCAGGCTTGGGCACAATAACATCTATTGCTCTTTCACCTCTAGGCCTGGACGATAGGGTGCTGACCCAAGGTCATATAGCTCTGAGCTTCTTTGAATAAGAGCAGTATATTTTTGTAAAGAAATGCATTTAGAAAAAATAATACCCATCAAACAGAGGTCAAAAGAAGAGTATTTAAAGACAAAGATGCAACTACCTCTGCTGGTACTATCATTTGAGTCCCTCCAAAACATTGCCCCAAACCTCACATGGGATTTGCTCTGATCATTGCTGGTAAGAGAGGAGAAAGTGCCAGGATTAGAGAGGACTGAAACATATCATTTTCTTTACCCGAGTAAAGTAGTTTGCAGAAGTTGCTTCCTGGAGTATCAGACTGCACAATACAGGAAAGAAGGAAGAGAGGATTATTTGTTCCATTTCTGGTATACAAACTAATAGGGGAAGAGGAAATATGTCAAGAGCCCATCAAACTTGGGAGCACTGCTGATCTAGTGGGTGGTAGGAGAGGCAAGCATGGAAATAAGCAAATAAGATTGAGGACTCAAGGATAAAGGTACATCTAGAGCAGAATTACATTCTTTAAGTTCTGGACAAAATTATGGACTTGACTTGCAGTGGGTGCTTTTTTTGTGGGTGATCCTAGAAGGGTCCTTGAGGATAGCTTAAATGTTCCTCACTTCTGAGACTTAGCTATTGCAATTTGTGAATGAGTGTTGATGCTCAGGAACAAAGAAGTAATTAGCATGAAGCTTTTAAATCAGAAGCTAAGAGAATAAATTAGACTCAAAACACCTTTGAAAATGATTAAAGATTGTTGCAGTTGTACCCAACTTTAAACAATGAAATATATAAGTTTGATTAATTTGCTTGATTGGTTTCTGTGGGAGTTTCTCACAAGAGCTTTAACTGGTCCAGAATGATTTTTTATTAGGTGAATGAGAGTAAAAACAAATCAACAATGTTGAGTTTTTTCCATTGAGTTATGGGCAGCTGTAAATTTCAGGACTGAATTTCATAGTAAGGTAATTCTTTCCTGCTTCATTCATATAAGCCTAAAATCAGTTGGAAGAGCAATATTGCTCTTCCAATGGGATGTAGTTGTAATCATGGCAATAAATGGTATATTGGCACTTTTATGATGAATTTGTCAGTAAATTAAACATTTATGATATAACAATATAACCATTGAATTGTTTCATGTTAGATTTCATAGAGGGAGAAAAAACTGAAATGGAAAGTAAGGAGATGGCAACTACGTTTAGACTTTCAGGATCTAAAATGCCTTTTTATTCACTGAATGAACAACTGAAAATATATGAAGAGAGACAGAAAGATTTTTTTGATATTGCTCATGACATGCGTAACATCACATATCCTATACCACAAACTTTGCCAATGCATGATCCTGGCAGCATTGAAAGGAGAGTCTTTGCTAAAGCATACGGAACTGTAAGACTTCACCCCTTACATGCCATTGAAAAAGCATATTGGGAAAGTCAGAAATTGGATCTGCAAGCTAAGAAGGAGCGAGATGTTATGCGGATGTTGATTGCTAAAAGTGAAGCTAAAGAATATATCCGTCAGTTACATGAGGGAAAAATAGAGCATATTCAGAAGAATTATGAAGAGAAAAAGATGAAGATTGCAGATCATTTTAAAGAGTCCAAAAAAAGAAAATCCAAGTTGTTTATTAAGATGAAAAAAAAATATAATAAATTTTTAGAAAAGAAGGAAGGAAAGACAATAGAAAACTCATTCATTCAGCGCTTTAGCACTCAGCATACTTCTTTGACTAGAGGTTTATTAAAACTTGATGGGTGGAGAAAAAGCCTGGAAGACCAAAATGAAAAAAAAAAAGTTTTTCAAGAAATTGTACAAGAACAAAAACAGCGAAAAGAGGTGTATAAACATTTTCAGGAGGAAAGGTATGTCTGTTTATTTGATTATTTGCTTTGGGAGGTATAAATGTTATATATAATATAGTGCAATATCTAAGAGTTTTTTTTAAGGAGGGTTCAAATAAATAGAATATGGATCTATTTAAATATTTATACCCCTGCAACATTCTGAGACATTCTGCTTCTAAAAAATAATACTTAAGAAGCAATCGTATAATATCCAAAGAATAAAATGAGATTACAAATAGACAGACAGACAGAAAGTTCATTCACAGGCCGCTTTTTTTCAAAATAACATTTTGAGAACCTTGAATGTGGAAACGCTAGGGACTGAACCAGTTCCCTGCATGCAAAACATTTCCTGTTTCACTGAGCTATAATTCTTTGGGAAGTAATGATGAATAAAATAGATGGAAATAATATCTATTATAGGAAATGTTTTTGTAATTCATATTGTTGGTATTGGCTTCATTTATTTTCTGGTATAGGTGAACAACTTTCTCTCTGAAGCCTCTCATAGCTTTTCTTTGATAGAGATAAATGAAATGTCCTTAGTTTCACTTAACCATGGCCCTGAAGGAGCCCATGCACACCAAGGTGATGCCAAACTAATGAAGCGTATGTCAAGATGTCACAATAAAAACTCTTTATTTTGTATATTCATTGGGACATCTCATGCATGTAGATAAAGGCCAGAGTTTGCATTATGATGCATGGTTTGTCACTTGTCTCCCTTTTCCTTACTGCCATGGACAACTGTGCACACCACAAACTTGACCTGGAAACATTTGTTTTTCTGCCAAGTCCCGTTGATGTTGCCATCATCTTGTTCTTAGCCTATAAATGAGATGGGCTTAAGTTATCATTAGCTGTACCAGTGCTAACATAACATTTTCCCCTTTTTCTGACTCCACCCAAAAGCAGCCTAAAGTGTGTGAAATCTGCTAGGGTTATTATTATTATTATTATTATTATTATTATTTATTTATTTATTTAATTTTTCCCCGCCCATCTCCCCACAATGGGGGACTCTGGGCGGCTTACAACATACTAA